GGAATTGATGGTTCTCACCAGCAGTATTTGACTGTCAGATGCAAACCACTTGGCAGATGGGCAAACATTTTGAAAGCAATTGGAAAATCTATCCTTTTCTTTTTTTTTTTTTTGTTAGTCTGAGAAATCCTCAGGGAGAAAGCATGGTCGATGGCAAGCTGAATATGAGTCAGCAGTGCCCTGGCAGCCAGGAGGGCCAACTGTGTCCTGGGGAGCATCAGGTAAAGCATCACCAGCCGGTCAAGGGAGGGGATTGTCCCGCTCTGCTCTGCACTGGGACAGCCTCACCTTGGATATTGTGGCAGTTTTGGGCACCACAATATAAGAAAGGTATTAAGCTCATAGAGAGAGTCCAAAGGAAGGCAATGAAGACGGTGAAGGGCCTTGAGGGGAAGCCGTGTGAGGAGCGACTGAGATCACTGGGTCTGCTCAGTCTTGGGGAGAGGAGACTGAGGGGACACCTCACTGAAGTTACAACTTCCTTGTGAGGGGAAAGGGGAAGAAGAGGGGTGGGCACTGATCTCTCTCTGTGGTTACCAGGGACAGGACCTGAGGGAATGGGCTGAAGTTGTGTCAGGGGATGTTTAGGTTGGATATTAGAAAAAGATTCTTCCCCCAGAAGGTGGTTGGGCACTAGAACAGAGTCCCCAGTGGTCACAGCTCCAAGCCTGACAGAGTTCAAGAAGCATTTGTACAATACTCTCAGGCACATGGTGTGACTCTTGGGGATAGTCCTGTGCAGAGCCAGGAGTTGGACTCAATGATCCTTGTGGGTCCCTTCCAACTGAGCATATTCTGTGATTCTGTGATGCTGAAATATGCACTTTTGATGTTTCTTTTTAAGAGAAACAGAGTTTTTTGTATCATTTTAGGTTAACCTAGGAAAAAGTATAAATGCTTTTGGAACCTTCTCAAGCAAATCACTCAGTTAACTCTTCCTTTAGCATAGGCATTATCTATGTGCTCATTAGGAATAAGCAACTTGAGCAAAATGAACTTCAGAAATTTCAAAGCACTTGTCCACTCATTGCATCTTCTATTCCTAGTCACCGATATTTATTGTTTTAAGAATTCGCTTACAAATATTGAACTAGAACTCAAAGCTTAATTACCATAGTTCTTTAACACAGAAATGATTCTCAGCTTTAGCACATCTGGACGAGACTTGAACTGCTAATGTTAAATGCTTCTTTTATCATCTCTGTATCAAAACCAAAAAGAAACTTAGCACCAGAGTTTCACAGTTCTTTCACAATCATTGACCTCAGGTCTGATAATTACATACATGTTTTATGTCTGAGTACTGTATAACAATGACAGCAATTTTAGCAACTTGATAGGCATCCAAATGCATTTCTCCCTCTACAGACATGGAGCTGAAGCAGTGCTGGTGGTGTAAGTCAAAATAGCGTGTGCTAACTATGTCTTGTCACACTTCTGTGGGGGACAAAATTTATGAATCTCACAGTGTTTCTGATTACTTCACAAATTCATGTCCTTAAAGGTGATAAATGGCTTCTCTCCCTCCTGACTGTGCCTCGCATGGGTCACGGCATCTCATTCCCAGTGCAGCAAGGCACATAACTTGCCAGTCAGCAATGAGGACAAAATAAATCAGCCAGAATGAAAGCCCTGGGGTGTTCCTGCTGATAAATCCTCAGAGGGCAGTAGGAGTTCTGTGACTGCCCATCCAGCACAGGCAATGAGCCCACTCCTCTTCCAGCCCAAGAAGGCTCTGGCTGCCCTGGTTCTAGGTAGTCTTAGATAGGGAGGGAGCTATGCTTCTAGAAATATTTGCTACTGAAAAGGTTCTAAAGAGGAAAATGTTACCTTAAAAAACTCCTTAGATCTCTGAATCTTTGTAAAGCAGAATATTTTGGTTTTGTTCTGTATTTTTTCCTTGACTCTACATGGTTTACAAGCTTAGGAGAACTGAAAAATCCAACGTGCCTTTGGAGAAAGATGTTTTCACTGGTGACAACTCTAAATGTGAGACTTATTCAAAACATGATATTTGCATGTCTAAGTGGATAGATCAGTTTCAGTGTGTGAGTTGGAAAGTCTGCTCTCATCTGTAACTGAGTTTATGGAAGTGCATATTCTTGAAAAAAGCTTCTCTCTTTTTTTATTTTGTTTTATTTTGTTTTGTTTTTAAGGTCTTTACCCACAAACTTTGAAAGTTACAGAGTCAAAACTGTATTGACATAGTTTGCCATGGCTTTTACAGTCTTTAGGGTAATATGTTGGATAATGGATGATTTGCTCCAGATTTCACTGTAAAACAAGTTAACAACATTGTAATACAAAATGTTCCTCCTTTACAGTACCACAAAAAACTGCAAATATTCTTTCTATACTAATATGCAAATAAAAATATGATCCCTAGCCTTTGTGAAACTAAACATCATGTGAGATAGCTGGCAATTTCCTGCATCTTCCAGAGAGATTACCTTCTTCAATCCTCAAGAGATCTGTTTCTCCTTCTTCGGGCCACCACCCTTTCCTGATCACTCTTGCTGTGTAAAGGTTCCTTCTGTTGCCTCATTCTGGCTCTAACAGAGCCGGCCCTGAGACCAAATTAACCAACTTGAGCATATGGCTGCAGTGCTTCCCAGATAACCTGCCTCCTGCCTGCAGGAGCACAGGTCCTGCAGGACTTGCCCGTATGTCATGATCTAGCACAACTGCACCACAGTCTCAGGCTTTTTGCTGCCCCAAAAAAGAAACATTTTACTACTCCCACTGAATTCAATAGAATCAGGATTTGGCATCTGCTGCTTCTGCTCAGTCCCCAGAAACTTGTGTGTGCAGGTAAAGACATGATGGGTTCAAGCTGGACAATTTCTTCTGTCAGATGAGCAGGAGTACAGGTTACATTAGCGATAAAGGGTGCAAGGGAACAAGTCCTCACCACCTTCCTTGCACTCATAGAGACCCAGCCCAACTCCATCTCTGCCTGCTGTCTCTGAAAGCAGAGCAAATCCCTCCATCTTTCCAGTCTTACCATCATTCCCTCAGGTCCCAAAGGCATTGACCCATGGTTTTATCTGAAAACTTCTAGCTTAAGATGTGGTCAGAGAAAAAAGAGCTTCCTTTTCTTTGGGGTATGTATTTCCCCCTGCACATCTCATTGCAGCCTGATCTGTTTAAACATCAAAAGTTCTTGTGTAAATATATACAACGAGGCTAAGTGATTAGAATAATCTAATGCAAATTTCAAAAACTCTGAGGAGATCTGAGAAATCAACACTGTCATAAGTTTTATTTCCACAGCATGAATGGAAATAATATTAGTAAAATACAGCTTGTACTTCAAAGAAAAGCAGTGTCGAAATGCTAATAAGTAAGAGGATTGCAGGAAGATGGGGAGGGGAATATGGCAGGTGGTGGGGTATGCTCTTTCCCCAGATGCATTTTATTTGTTCATAAATGCCTTAAAAATGTAATGACCTCTCCATGAGCAATGAGGCACCCTTTTCCATTAACTTTTGCCATATAATATTTTCATACACTCCTGAATGTGTGAACTCTCATTCCTGAGCCTGACTTCAACTCCACAGTTGACATGACCGCAGCCCCTCTACCAAGAGGTAGTGGCACCAGTAGCAGCCACCAAAAGGACTGAGGGCAAGAGCCATCTAAAGATATCCCAGGAAAGTAAAGCCTCCCTCTAGGCAGCACCCAGCCTCAGCTACCCACCTCCCAGAGGCAAGGATCCCTCTTCGACAAAGGGAGCCTGTCAGGAAAGCAAAACATGGTACAAAAATGACCTGGATGCAAGAAAAGGCAGTGATGGCTTATCCCCACAGATGCCACAAATCTGGTATCTGCAGTTCTTGTTTGCAGCCTGAGCATCTGCCTTGTCCCCGTCATGTCCACGATGTGGCAGTGTGTGTCACCCGCTGCCGAGGGGGACCGAGGAGAAGGGAGTTGTGTGGAGAAACCGTGTCTCCCATCTGATGGAGACATGAGGGAGCCTGATTAAAACATCCATTTTGGATTCAAGCTCTCCCAAAACTGCACAGCTTTGCCTGCCAGCAGCCAGTTGATAAAAAGCTCGATAAAAAGCTTGATAAAAAGTGAGGGAGGTGTGGTGCAGAGCAGAAGGCCTGTCTGGTCCCTGCACTGGGGCTGAGTCTCCCACCTCCTTTCCCTCCACATTACCCACTGAGTCCCAGTGCAATTCCACTGCACAAAGTGCTCATTTCCTCCGTCATCATCACTTCCACCCAAAGTGCAATGGGCACCTCCTCAGAGAGCTGGTGGAGAGGTGGCATGTCAAGGCTGGCAATATGTCTTTTTTTTTTTTCAATTCTGAGGGCAGGCATTTTCATGAGAAAAAAAGGTACATTTTTAGATCTATAATAGGTGAACAGTTCAGAAATAAAAGCTTTTCCCTCAGAAATGCAAATCACTTGGATTGCTGTAACATCTAATGATCTAAAACACTGGCTTTTTTGCTGTCTGCAAAGCAGCCATAGCTTGACCTGTGAAGGACAATTTCATTTCAAGTGACCTGAGGAAGCAATAAAAATGAAAACATGAAATAGAAAGAAATATTTATTTGAACACTTATGGTACTATTTTTATTTGCATCACAGAGATCATCGACCAGTTCTGTGTGATCTTTCCGCTCCCTAGAAATTGCAATGTTCCACTGTAGCAAATGCACAGAGTTTAAGGTCATAAAACAGCTACAAGTGCAATTTAAGCATTTGCAATTATGGGCAGAACAAGAGAAAAAGGTACTTTGTACTCCATCTGGAATTCTACTCACTCTGTACACAGTGTTAATAAAATACAGATGCAACTTGGGCCAGCGTTAATCAAAAGCCATTAACATCAGAAGCTGTTCAGTGGCCTGTATGAATTCTATTTTATTGGTTTTAGCCCAGTGCCCATTAGACAGACATCTACATTACAGCCAGAGCCATTGTGACATTGGCAAGGTCTGATGGCTGTGACGCATTTTCTCACTGAAGTCCCCTTTTGGAAGTAGAGCTAATCCCTTTTGGACACTGTGGGGTCCCTCCTCCTCAGAACCACTCGTGCTCGTAACCTCTGTGGTCTCTGAGGGCAGAACATCCACCTGCAGGGCTTTTAGGTAAGTAATAAAGTGCAAATACACACAGGCCAACTGAGAAAGCCATGACTGATGCAAGAGCAGCAAGAAAAACCCACCAGACTGTCTTTCTTATGTGGAGAGAGGTGATACTTTTTCACACCCTGAACATCCAGAACCAGTCCCACATGTGACTACAGTCAATGGCATTGCTGCAGACAAGAGACAAAGTGTGCCTGCAAAGCAGCTCTCTGGATGTATGACATCCAGCAGAGCCAGCCAGGGCTTTGCTATCAAATAGAACTGTAATCAAGTAGAAGAAAAAATTTGTAAGGATGCCTCTGTTCTCTGCCCTGCAACTTTTCCCTAACTTGCCTGTGGTTTTGCTCCGTGGGAGATTGCCAAATCCAGAGCTCAATCCTGAGGCAGCACCTCCCGTATCACTCTTTCTGGTTTGTCCTGCTCTCTATAAACGAGCCTTTACTCTCACTTGGCATGAGGGAGACATCATTTTTCATCCGTATTTTGCAGGATCATCCTTTTTTTCTGAGACACGCAGCGACTCGCTGCCAGCAGAGTGTGCGGAGCCCTCCCCTCAGCCCAGCTTTCAAGCCTCGTTGGATCCATACGCTTCGAGTGATCAGGGTGATTTTTCTCCTGGTTTCTGCACAGGTCTGACTTGTAGCTGTCTTGTCCACGCAATGATGGCCATATGCTCTTGGGTGCCAGCAGCAGAAAGAGGGAAAAGACTTATGTTCTTCAGGGAACTGTGTCCGTCGTTAGCACAGCTGCCACCGTAACAGTACAGGGCTGGTGAGCTCCCAGTTTTCCTGCTAAGACTCTCTGCTCGTTTATGACATGATATTTTGCACTCAGATTTGTCATGCACCTCCCAGGTTGGAAATCATATCTCAAGGCATTAAATCTCCCACTCCTATCTCCAATAATATGCTTCGTAGAAAAACGTCTGGGAGGCCTTTTTTTTCTGTGAAAATACAATAATAAATTTGGGGTTTAAGGCTGTAAGGGTTTGGAAATATGTATTCATTCATTGAGGTGCTTTAAAAGGAATACAAGGCTTAGCAAGTGAAAATAAAATAGGTCTGATTTATACAGTAATACAGTAAAAAGGCTGTGCAGGAAAAAGCAAACAAACGTTTTATGTATGTTTATGCACATTAACTCTCTAAGTGATTATACAGTCTCTAAGATCTAGATTTTCATGGGGTTTTGTAATGCTTCAAAGGAATAGAGCTGCAAATAGACAAGTATAAGTTTCATTTCTTTCATTTCAGTAACCGCAAATGCATATTTTTGCTTTCAGATTCTGCCTCTTCTGTCAGTTGTACTTACATTTTTGTGTGCTTTTCTGCTGATAAAATTCCACTGACGTCACCCATAGCAAACCTTCATGCTTGATAAATGTGTGAACAAGAAAGGAATAAGGCTCACACTAAACAAACAAATGTCAATCATAAAGGAATAAGCAGGGTTTTCAGCCTGCTCAGAGAAAAGGTAAGTGGAAGGGCCTTTATATAACTCCTCTTCCACGCTCAAAGGTAATGTGCGGATGGTGTTATTTAAATAAAAGCTTATTTTTTGCCTTCTTTTTTCCTTGCATGTTCTCAGAGGAAATGGTATTGAAAAGGCTAAAGCCAGTGACATTTTGGTGTTGTGAAAGAGTGAGAATATAAGCTAGAAATTACTGGAAATATACGGCCCATTAAGTTGTTTTGCAATGCTGAGAAATGAAGCATAGAGTATTTTGTTAAAGTCAATATCCCGTGGGGATTAAAGCAAGATTAGCATCTTTCAGCGCAACAGCCCTGCCAGAAAGCATGTAGGTATAAATCCAAAATACCTCTGGTTTACTCGAAGGAACTGCCCTGAACTCTCACCAGTGCAGCTGAGGACGACCCAGGGCCCCTAAACCTGGTTTGGATGTCTCAGGGTTGGTGTGCCCAATTCTCTGCACCTGCCAGTGGCAGCTCACTGGCCTGTGTGCAGAGAACTTCAGCCAAAGGCAGGAACAGCGTAGGACATCATGGACTCCTCCTGTCTACTCCCAACTGAGGGAGGGATATCTCCTTCAGAGCCAGGATTTACTGTAGTTTTCTTATGGACTTTTTTTTAATTCTGTTTGTTTTGCTTTATTTTTACCCTTTCAACAATACCCAGTGGAGATATCCAGTATCTCAGCGGAGAAAAGAGGTTGCATTATTATTCTGTTAACAGCGTTTATAAAATTCAGCCATTAACACTTCATCCACAGCTCCAGCACCAAAAGATAGTGTTGCACCCCATCCTGGCAGAAGAGATCGATTACCAGTGTTCACTGGAACATATTCTGATGTGCCACTGACTTTTTCTGACAGCTACTGACAACCTTGATACTGTCATTGCATTCCTCAGCAGTTTCTGCTCTCTCTTTCAGGGATTTAACTATTCAGTGAATGTTTTCACATATTTTGTTTTGCTTTGCCTACAGACCTGAAGGACAGGAGTAGGACCTCCCAGGCTTGGCCTGAAATGGATCTGAATTGATATTTTCAGGAGTGCTCATCTACAGCAGGTTCTCCTTTCAATAGGATGAAAGAAAGAAAAAAATAACTCTCTGGGGGTTTTCTTTACATTGCATACCTGAAACCTGAATAAAAAGCTAGACATTAAAAGAGTAACAGCTTCAAAAAGTTGTTGGCACTGACAGATGTGGCTGATCAATGGTGTTTTGTAGCTACAACGGGAGCTTTAACTGAAGCTGTTTCCCCTTGGTCTGCTGCCAGAGACAGCAGCAGAGGTCTCTGAGGAGCTCAAGAAGGAAGGCAAGGGAGCCTGGAGGAATTCCTTTGTGGCAGTGAATACAGACCAAGAGAAACCTCCCAGCCATGTACATCTTTTACAGCCAAAAGCTTTGTAAACATTAAAAGCAGGCAGTACTCTGCTGTAAACAAAGGCAACTCAGTCCTTAAATACCCTTTTCACAGTATTCTGTCTTCTGGTTCTGTGAATGGCAGGGAAGACGAAACAGGTCTGAAGACAGTTAGGTGCTTCTCCATCCTCCCCTCTGCCTTTGCCATACTGGGATCTAAAAAGCAGCAGAATTATGAAGGCACTGTTGCCCAGAGTAAGGGCTCTCTCCCCACTGCCAGTTCAAGCAAAGACAGAATCACAGGATCACAGGATGGGTCAGGTTGGAAGAGACCACAGAGGGTCATCCGGTCCAACCTCCCTGCTCAAGCAGGGTGACCCTAGAGCACATTGCACAGGGTTGTGTCCAGATGGTTCTTAGGTATCTCCAGTGAGGGAGACTCCACAGCCTCTCTGGGCAGCCTGTTCCAGTGCACGGTCACTCGCACAGTAAAGAAGTTCTTCCTCCTGTTCAGGTGAAACTTCCTGTGCACCAGTTTCTGCCCGTTGCCTCTCATTACTTGGCACCACCAAGTAAGACCTCAGCAGCAGTTTTGCCTTGGTGAGGAGCCTTACCCGAGCCCAATAAATGCACCCAATGCAGGTTAGTGTGCCTTGACCTGGATTTTTCCGGGTTTTCCCATGCTAGAGCTGCAGCAGCTCTGATGCTTCCAATCCCTGGCATAAGCAATGCCCTCCTGGAGCGCATACACATGGGTCCTGCACAGAGTAACTGGTGTAACCAGGGTGCAGCAAACTTGCTCTCCCAAGCAGTTGTGCACAGTGAGTGCCACCTCTGCTATAAATTGGTCAGAAAGCCACTTGCAACATCAGGCCAGATGCTGAGAGATGATGTCAGCCCCACTGCAGACAACCCTGCTTTGGGGCACCCTGGGCCCATCTCAGACAGACATACCCAAAGGAGCTTTGACTCACCTGGCTCAGGTGCTGTGTGCTGCTGAGGCACCTTGGGCCCAGGAAGCTGGGGGCTCCTCCACTGGCTCTGGTCTGTTGTTTTTTTTTACCACCCCACAGCTAGGTCAGGTTCATCTGCAGAAGTTAAACCCCCACATGTGAACCATGCAGCTGACATACTCCAGTTGGTACCTCCTAGGCAGTAAAGGAGTTACGCTGAAATTAGCAGGACTCTGGTGTGACCAGCAATCATATTTAGGAAGAAGTAGAGTCAGGATCTCTGCCATTTCACAGATGTAAACTAACCCTGTCTTTCCAGTTCTGTCACACTGTTTTTGAAGCAATGATTTTTAATTTTTCTTCTGGTAATAAAACGGATGTTTTTAATAAACAAGCAGAGCCCTTGGGTGCTGCACCTTTTTAATGAGATGATGTTGTGGCCAGAAACCATCTCTCAATGTGATAACTTTTGCCTTATCTCTAAAGTAACACATTTGCCTGATCAATCAAATATAAAAATACAATTTAAAGAGCTATAATTTGGTTTTCGGAAATCCATTACATCTTCAGACTGTTACTCTTCTCCCCTAAGCTGCAATATAATCTTAGTTAATAACCTTCTCCTTCACCTTACCTTCTCCTTCACTTTACAGTATAGTCCCATCCCACACCTTTCCTTTAAAAGAAATTGATTTGGTTTTTTGGCTGCTGGGGGGTGAGAGGGACAGTGAGGAGAAGGAAAAACTGAGTTTGGAGGGGAAGCAGGATTGCTTTCATGTTTTGCTTTTCTTTCTGTGCATATAAAATTTAGGCAACGAGTAAACCTTCCCCATCTGTGACTATGCAGAAGTAGGTTACTTTGCCTAAAGCAGTTGCAATAACTCACTTGCCACTTTTGTAGAACTTTCTGCTTTATTAGTTCTATGCTGATAACTTAACTTTTTTTAGGCATGTAAAAAGTAGGTAATTGAAATCACAAAGGTATCTTGATGCCTGAGCTCTTGTGTCATCACCTAGATGGATCTGAAAGCAGGTTAATCCTATGTCAGCTCCTTCAGCTGGCCAGTGATACAGTTTATTCACCAAGTAATCGACTGTTCCCTGTGTAAAACGGACAAGTGACAGATCTTTTTTCCTGACAGTGCAAGTTCTGTAAAATTTAGGAGTACAAATTTAAGACCATCTGGTCAGAAGTTACTCTTCTACTGATAAAGGCACTATGGGATAAACCTGGAATCCAACTCTTTGGAGTAGTGGCATTAGTAAAAGCAGAAAACTTTATGAATCTGCTGGATCTTCAAAGTATTAAAGAACTTGGGTTTATTTATATGAAAAGCTAGTGCTTTCATGGCTTACAGGCACAGATGGAGAAACAGCTTTCACCATTTTGGTAATGATGGAATGTTTCATGGTGGCTAACAGAATGCAAGAGTGAAAATAAAGACTTCTCTTTCCACGGCAGAAATAAGAATGATGACCATGTATTTCTGGTGCAGCCAGATCTCAGGATCAATCTGAACTGACTAAGGATGGCATGCAATTCCAACACCTCAGAATATATCGCAGTGTACAGTAACTGGGAATTCTTTCTCCTGGCACCTCTACTTAATCTTCCACACCTTCAAAAGTTGTTCCTTCAGTCGAGCATCATATCACTTTCCTGTTCCCTGCAGGGTATGGTTGTAACAGCAAACAGTTGATCCAGGGTACCATAAATTTCCAGTTAAGATGGCAACAGAGGTCTCAGGATATGTGAAAGCTGAGTTTGGAAAAACTGTTTTCAGATTGGGTTCTTAGAAGCAAGATTAAATGTTTGGTTGTTCATATAGTAACAACTGGGTGACAGGAAGCTGAACGTGAGCCAGCAGTGTGCCCAGGTGGCCAAGAAGGCTAATGGCATCCTGGCCTGTATCAGGAATAGTGTGGCCAGCAGAACCAGGGAAATGATTGTCCCCCTGTACTTGGCACTGGTGAGGCTGCATCTCGAGTCCTGTGTTCAGTTTTGGGCCCTCACTACAAGAAAGACATTGAGGTGCTGGAGCATGTCCAGGGAAGGGCAATGGAGCTGGTGAAGGATCTGGAGCACAAGTACTATGAGGAGAGGCTGAGGGAGCTGGGGTTGTTTAGCCTGGAGGGTGCTCAGGGGTGACCTTATCACTCTCTACAACTACCTGAAAGGAGCTTGTAGCCAGGTGGGGGTTGGTCTCTTCTTCCAAGCAACCAGTGACAGGATGAGGACATAAGCTTCAAGATGCACCAGGGGAGGTTCAGGTCGGACATTAGGAAGAATTTCTTCACAGAAAGGGTGATTAAACATTGGAATGGGCTCACCAGGGAGTTGGTGGAGTAACCGCCCCTGGAGGTGTGCAAGAAATGACTGGACGTGGCACTTAGTGCTGTGGTCTGGTTGAAAAGGTGCTGTTCAGTCAAAGGTTGGACTTGATGATCTCAGAGGTCTTTTCCATCCTCATTGATTCTGTAATTCTGTGATCGGAAGTGGATATTTCTTATCTCAGCACATTTCTAACTTTCCCAGGATCAACTGTACAACTCCCTTAATTTAAATGACAGGAAATTATCATTTGCTGATTTCCTACACTAAACACAGAGGCAATTTGGCCTGAATCTTCAGTGAGTGGCTTTTTTTTAACTACAGCTATTAATTCTAGAGTACACAGAGTATATTAATTTTGAATCTCAGAAGGTGGAGAGTCCTGCCATTAGCAGCAAAACAAAGCACACAAACAGTTTTCTGTGCTGGTCTTTTTGCTCAGCTTCAGAATTAAACGTCATGTGCTGTTAGCCTGGGTTTGCAATGCTCTGAGCAGAGGCATTGCTTGAGGGAGCAGGGGCTCTGCAAGAAGCTGGAGTTTGTGCTCTTTGCCTTGGTCCTTGATTAGACTCGATTCTTTAGGCAGAAATGGCTCCCTGGAAACCAGTGCTGGACTGAGATTCCTGAGACAAGAATTGCCTTCTGCTGTTCCCAGCTGCCAGTTCTGGGTAAATAGAAGTGAATTGTTCTTGGGCTCTCCATTACTGCAAAAGCAAATCCCAAGGCTTCATAAGTCTGATCTCACATACTGAATAATCAATATTGTGACAGAAGGAACACTAACAGTGGGAAAAGGGCAACACAAAGGTGCAGCCCCTGACACACTTGCAAGTGCATCTGAGTTCCTCTGCGAGGGCACAGGCAACTCCTCCCAGGTCATGCAGGCTCAGGCCAAGTGGGAGGTTGTCCAGGGACCACAGGACACACTTCACTGGCACCCAGCCCACCCTAACACAGTCATGGCTGACTGGGTACAAGACATCAGCTCCTGCAGTTCAGCTGAACCTAAAGGTGAGTGGCAGCAGTGAGGGCTTTGGCAGGAGGGAAAAGGGCAGAGACTATGCCAAGCAAAAGACCACAGCCCACAGAGTGCTGCTGGCACACAGGGAGCTGAAAGGCTACAATCGACAAGTACAGGAAAAGCAATCCTCAGGTTTATTAGTAATGTACTTTGGCAATATTCCATGTATTAGAACAAAATGCAGACGCTAGACTTAGTCCAGCGGCTTTTGTTCTCACCAAAGGGTCTGAGCTTAGTTGGAAACAAAATACCATTTCCTGCAGCTTCATGGGTCAGCCACTGCCTGGACTGACACTGCTGCTCTGTCAGCTCCAGCAACATGTGTCACCCCAGGGCACGCTCTCCTGCTGGGCTGCAGCTTATGAGACCAGCGATGGAGCAAGTGGGAAGACCTCTTAACTTTCTCCATAAACCTGGAAGCAAGTTATTATCTGAGAACCAAACATTTCCAAAAGGACAATGACTTTCAGATATTTTTAAATGGCACTTTAGGGACT